CATTTGTAATCATCAAAATTAAACGAAATAAACATTTGAAATATATGAGTTTGTATGTAATGTATGAATATAATATACAAGTTTCACTTTTTCAATGGAATTACTGAAATAAATCTACCTTTTCATGATATTCTAATTTTATGACCAGCACCTGTATATGGACACCCTTATGCTGAACATGGTGTTCGTGATGGACAATCCGTGACAAGCACAGAAGTCCAACAACAGAACACCACTCGAGTTCAGATCGGGGGGCCGTTCCTCCCAACCACGCCCCTCCAGGTCTCACTGTCATTGCCCACGTGAGCGTTGAAGTCCCCCAGCAGAACAAGGGAGTCCRCAGGAGGGGCACCCTCCAGTACCCCTTCTAAAGACTCCAAGAAAGGTGGGCAATCTGAACTGTTGTTCGGCCCTTAAGTACAGACAGTCAGAACCCGTCCCCCCACCCTTAGGTGGAGGGAGGCTACCCTCTCGTTCACCGGGGTAAACCCCAACGTACAGGCGCCAAGATCGGGCGCAACAAGTATGCCCACTCCTGCCCGGCGCCTCTCACCGCAGGCAACTCCAGAGTGGAAGTACGTCCAGCCCCTCTCAAGGAGACTGGTTCCAGAACTAGAGCCATGCGTCGAGGTGAGGCCGACTATTTCTAGCCGAAACCTCTCAGCCTCGCACACTAGCTCCGACTCCTTCCCCACCAGAGAAGTGACGTTCCACGTCCCAAGAGCCAGCTTCAGCAGCCGAGGATCAGGCCGCCAGGGTCCCCTCCTTCGGCCGCCGCCCATTTCACACTGCACCCAACCCCTTTGGCCCTGCCTACAGGTGGTGAGCCCGTTGGAAGGGGGACCCATGTCTCCTCTTTGGGCTGAGCACGGCTGGGCTCCGTGGGTGAAAGCCCGGCCACCAGGCGCTCGCCATCGTGCCCCACCTCCAGACCTGGCTCCAGAGGGGGGGCCCCGGTGACCTGCGTCCGGGCGAGGGAACGCCAGATCCAATGTTTTTTGACATCATAAGGGGTCTTCCATATTGGTGATGACAGAAAAAGAGAAAAATAAATAGATTTGTGTTTAACAAAATGCCAACAACCCTCCTGGCTAGCTCACCAAGCAATGTAACCCAAGTTACATTCTAAGATTATAGAAATAATCCAAACTAATGTCAATCCAAGTGATTTCTTAAAAACTAGGTTCGTCTGCTGGAGGAGGTGGCAAATTGCAAAAACACAAAGACAAGTAGATGGTGCAAAATCAGTGAGTTGTATTGATATTTACAATATATACAAATTAGTCCACAATTTAGAGTTCAAAAGGGTTCCTTAATCCAAGAAAGTCAATCAGTCTTTGTTGATGATGAAAGGAAAAACAAAAAATAAATATCCAGTTCTGTCAGTGAAAACTGTTGGGCTGAATCTCCAACCAGTTCGGAAGTTTTCACAGATGATAGGTGTTGTATCTCCGGATCCGCTAATACGGTTAGCACACCAGTCTGGTCAGCATGAAGCCAGACAATCCGTGATGTATCTTAAACCCTTCAGCCACTCCTTGAGCGGAGGTGGGGTGGGGTGGGGGGGGATCTGCAATACACCTGGCCTGTGTAAACAGGCCTAAATAATCAATCAACATGTACATGTAT